ATACGAGCGGGCACAATATCTATCTACACGCGTATTCTCCTCGTGCGTATATGTGTTATTTACGTACAACGTGTATACAGGGTGTTCCTCGAATCGGTCGCCACGGCCTTTCGAGGTATTTCCTCATTGATTGATAACAAGTTTTCAATAACAAAAGTTTGTTGGTTCCTTATAAGGAATTAATTGCATGAAGGAAAGTTTCAAATTTGTTCATTTTTTGATTAAAAAAATCAAACACATTGTTTTTTTTTTTTTAAATGGAACTATATTTTTCTTTCCTTTCTCTTGTAATATATAAAGAGACGAATTCATTGATGTATTATTATGTATTATTTTGATTATTCGATCTCAAGATAATTTACAAACCTGTCATCGATATCTAAAGCAGTGAGATTCAAACGTAAACAAACTGTAAGAACAAACACAGAAATAGTAGTCGTCGAAATACGTAAAAAAGAATCGAAATATACATAAAGGTGAAGTACATTTACTTAACGCTGTTTTTTTCACACATCAAGTATATTTATTAAAGTAAATGTTCAAACACCGCAATATCATCTTCCGCAACACTAAGTTGCCATTCCTTTCAACAGATTGTTATGCATAGATTCAGCTGCAATAGTTTACGTTTGAATCCGACTGCTTTAGACAATAGATTGGAATATGTTGTACGCATCAATAGAATTATTTGAAGATCAAATAATAAAAACGATATAATAATACTATAATATCATCAATAGATTAATTTCTGTTATTCAGAAGAAAGAAAAATATATAGATAAATTAAAAGAAATTCGATTTTTCATTAAGAAATTAATTTAAAGTTTTTTTTTTTACCAATTAATTCTTTATTCGAAAAATACACAATGTCATGGCTTATTTCGAGCTATAATTAAATTCACTTTAAATTAATTATATTAATTAAATTAAATTAACTTTAAATCAATTACATTAATTTAAAGTTGATTTAAGTATAGCTCGAAATAAGCCATGACATAGCGTGATTTAAAAAAAAAATATACGAGCTCTAATCTTTATTAGAAAGCGACGAACTTGTTAGAAATATTTTATGGCCAATCCATTGGGAGTATCTCGAAAACTGTAGAGATCGATTCGAGAAACACCCTGTATACGTGCATTTGCGAATGTATGGATATATGCGAAGACGTGTTGGTGGACATGGGTGTACCTGGCGGGAGAAGGTGCCCCGCGCAGCCTCGCGGATCCGCCCGTGCATTGGCGGCGTGCATCTTCTTCTTCTTCTTCTTCTTCTCCTTCTTCTCCTTCTTCTTCTTCTTCTTCTTCTTCTTCTTCTTCTTCTTCTTCTTCGCCGTACGTCGTCGCCATCGCATCGCCGCAAAAGTTCCGCGCGGCGCGGTGGTACGAAAAATGGATGTAAGTTCCACAAAGAAAAGAGAGAGAGAGAGAGAGAGAGAGAGAGAGAGAGAGAAAAGTGGAAGATGCGAAGGCGTATTTAAGCAAAGTAGGCGGTGCCTCGGGCGACGAATTTTAAGGATAATCCTTCAAGTGGGATGCTTGGTAAGAAAAGGCATTTGGAAACGAGATGTACGAAATGCTCGGCGATTATCTTTTACATACATGTCATTCCGCGCGCTTCTAATTAATTATATGTCCCTGAAGATTAGATTGGATTGAATTTAATCGTTCCGAAAGCGATTCGCCCCGCCTACGGCCGAGCGTGCTAATAATTTCACGCGTGTAATGTAAAGTGCACGATCTATTGCGCGTTTCGATACTCGATCCTCGCCGGGGCTCTGTACGTATCCGCAAATGTCATTGCAATATGAAATATCGGTGACGACGGGGGCCGGCAGGCCGATTCGCACGCGGGGAGGTCGGCGAGCGCGGTTCGCGGAATGCGAGGCGCGGATTCCTGATTTCGCGTTTTTTTTTTTTTTTTTCCTTTTAATTTTTCACGCCGGGCTCACAATGCCGCGTTTACGTAATCGAAATGCGTAGGAAGCCACGCAGATTGATTAGCACATGAGAGGAGAAAGGTTGCGACCATATAGATATCGGCTAGTGGCTCCATGTGAATTGCACGCGCGCGCGCGGCGAGACCACGTGGGTGTCATCACACGCGCGTGAAAAAAAAGCCGAGAGATTATAGACGCACGGTGTACTCTCTCTTTCTCTAACGTCTGAAGCCAGTGACTCTCAAAGGGCGCGTCGCGTGGCAACGAATTTCGGCATATCGTGCGATCGCTTTGCGCGGGCAAAGAAAAGGATCTGCGTTTAATTTTCTTGGAAAAAAAAAAGAAAAAAAAAAGTATTTCCCTCTTCTCGATGAAGAGCCCGAAGAGGGGAACGAAAAGGTAAGGTAGCGAATTGCTTCGCGCGAGTAATTCATCTTTCGGACAATAGCGTGCGTCGCGAGCGAAAAAAGATTTGAGAACCGTCGGCCTAGAGAGTGTTAGAGGAGGTGTAGGCACACCGCAATATCGCCAAGGGACGGTGCATAAAGGATCCCGATAGCAATGACTATAAATTCGCTCTAAGCGCGAGTCTAAATATAAACTACATGCGAATGTACTCCGCGTAAGTCGTTTTCGCGGGAGAAACAAATCGCCGTATATTTTTATTCCGTTTATTATTACTATATTAATCGCGACCTTTCGCGATTACCCGGTTTATATTCCTACCGGTGTTGCATTAATGCAACCCACCTGCCTCGCTTTAACGCTTCGTTAACGTCGGACGCTTCGTTACGTCGAACTTTATCCCGTGAAAAATAAATGTGTACGATAAGAGGGATGGGGAGGGGAGGGGAAACGGGCAGGGAGAGCGCGCGTTAATTATTCCGCTCGCGCAAAATCATGCGTCACAAATTAACGTAAACAAGCGCGTTTCCTTTTGCGCGCTGAGGATTCTTTGTTGCGGTAAACATTAGGCGTTCTATATTCTTCGCAGCGAAATCTCACTTTGAACAGTAAAAATTGCGTCATTCTTGAAAATGAGCAGTTCAGTTTTCAATCTTTAAGTTCAATCTTTTATTGTTTGGAGTGACAATCGGTTCTAAAAGTTTCCGATTGTTCCTATCACATAGCCTATCACATACTATATTTAGCCGAAGATTAGCTAATCTTCAGTTAAACTATGTGTAATTTATCTATTGCTACACAAGAGTAAAACGGTAAGACAGTGAACTGATTGATCGTTTATCGAAAGATGGAATAACTCAGCCTCAATTTCTTCACTTCCAGATAAGTTGTTTAGATAAGGAGGTATGCCCATTGTTCGCCGAAAATTATCTCTTTGGAAAATCTAGGGGACATCAGACATTAGAGTAAATTCTCTTCAGAAGATGGCCTACTCAAGTAGCTTACTCTGATATCTAACACTTCGAAAAATATAGTCGGAAGTCACTTCCGATAATCGTATGTACGCTTTACAGGACACTGCAACAGTTGATAGCTGGTCTGACTTCTATTCTCGAACTCTCCTCCTCGTTGAGTTACTCCCGTAAATACTAAGCTTAATTGAGAATGATTCAAAAGCGGATTCCTCCTCCCTCTGAGAAAAACCAATCGCCGGATCAATCTACGATCTGACTGATAATCATTTTCGAGTTAGTACACGCGCGAGTTCGTGCAGCGTAGCGGCCGATACGCTGTAGTGAATGTAAAACCGAGCGTACAAACTGAATATTTAAAAGATTATAAAACAAGTTGAGAGGATACGGGGCGATACCGTGCTAACTCACTCGACTTGCGTGCTTACCGGCTGCCCTTTCGATAATAAGATCGATACCGATCTCCATGACGTAGCTGTCTCACGTCATGGGGCGCAAAAAGAAATGCAATAGAAAAGCTTTTTTTTGCGCTAAACGCTCTCGATATGCGATTTATATTCATTTCTAGTTTGCTTATTTGATTTTAGGGGGTTTTTTCGTAAAATTTTATTAAGTTTTTTATTTAAAATTCGATTAGGTTTTATTTTATTAAGTTGTTTTGTTTCTAATTATTAATTTTTTTTTTAATTTTATAAGGGAGAGTATAAAATTCCAATTAGTTTAACTTTAATTTCGGTCTGATTCACTCTCTATTTTTCTTAGGAAAATAAAACATGAGTTAAACTGCATACAAAAAAAAAACGATTTTACTGAAATGTCTAAAAATTTATCTATATACAGATTTGAAAATAATTTTGTTGGACCACAAAAATAATTATATAAAACGCTCTTAAAAACATTGCTGATAATATTGCAAAATCTTGTAACATTGTAAAACTAGTTTGAACGTCCGACCTAATTATTTTGATGATCCAAACAAAATCATTTTCAGATCTGTGTAACTACCGTAAATGTAGGTGACTTGGGGCAGCATGTATTTTTGTTAAATTTAATCGTGGTATCTATCCACGAGTCTCTAAAGAAAGTTTAAATTTTTAATTTGCTGTAGCAAAATTTTTTAATATTTCAGCAGAATCATTTTTTCTGTCGAATATTAAAGTTAATCTACATCGACAGAGAAAGGACATGAACGAATCATCGGAAAGAAATGCATAAAAATCACGAGAAAAAGGGCGAACGGATACAAATTGATAAAAAGATATACTGATAAAAAATACAGTCAATTTTAATAAATTTATTTAGTTGAATATTACCAATTAAATATTTATTTAAAAAATCTACTGAACAAATATTTATTTACTGTAAATAAATATTTAGTTGGCAGTCGAAGTAAATATTTATTAAAATTGACTATATTTTTTCCCAATGTACAAATTTCTTTTTCGTGAATCTGAAAAAAAATCTATTCTATACTTTTCCTTCATTTCGTCACGAGCGACCCAACTTGATCGGTTGTACCATGATTGACGGCACACCCTATATATATATTATTACGTCTTTAGAAGCTATATAAAAATAGAGGTGGAACAGAAGTGATGGTAAACGAAAGAAAGGGACAACCGTAAGGAACCGTAAAATAAACTGAGAAGAACATCACACTCGGGCGGCCGTCACTCACCTGAGCGGCTGGTATGTATATGAAACGATATAAGTGCATTGTGCTCGTTAATGCGCTGGCAAGCGCGTAATGCTTGCGTATGTGCATAAATATTTATGCTATTCGACCGAACAATCCCTAAAACGAAATGAAGTCTCTAACAGTCGGGAACGTGACGGGAACGGTCGCGTATTATTATCGTTGATACGATATTTCGTGTTGCTTCTATTGTCAATCCCTTTAATGATATTATCCTCTCAATATGAATTATTTTCTTCCGCTCTTACGCAATTTTGATTAGAAAACAACCAAGTTGTAATTAATTTCCAAATTGACTTTTGTAATCTGTTTTTTTTTTATCTTTATCATTCTTTCGCTCTCTTTCTTTTTCCCTTGCATTTTGAAATATTATTATTATTATTAAAAATTGGATCGAAAAAATTCAATATGTTTACAATTAACAAAAATAGAGCATATATGTTGATTCACGGACGGACGCCGTCATTAATCTCGGTTATCAAATTGAAATCCTCAAATACGTGCTGCGAGTTTTTCTCGTTGTGTCGAATTACTTCTACGATGGATTTGGATTTAGGAAAGCTAGTAGCTTATATATGCATCGAATGCAATGAGGAGAACCGATTCGATCGGTGGTGCAACAACGCCGCAAAATGGATATGTATTCGATCGAACGTTCATGCGGGCGCGTACGCTTTTGAGGGCCAAAAGGAGAGACAAAGAGAAATTCATTGTATTCCAAAGAGAAAAGCGGCTTCCGAGAGAAAAGAAAGACATAAACTACAAATTAGATATACAGATATCACGATGAAATATATACGCGAGAGAGAAAGAAGCGAAGAAATTTATCATATTCTAGTAAAAATCCTTAGTAATATATAGCGTAATGATAAAAAAAGATATAATTAAGTGGAAATAACAAAAATCCAAATATAGAGGTGTAAAAAAAGATAATAGATGTAGGAGTAATAAAGTAATAAAAAAAAGATATCTAAATTGAGAAGTAAAAAGAAAGAAAAGAGAAGTCAATAAGTGACGAAGAAAACTAGAGGAAACTAGAGAGAAGAGATGAAAGAGGAGAGAGACGCAGAAGTTCCCTCAGTTCTCTCCGCTCCTGCTGGAGAAAGAGGAAGAGAAAGAGAGAAAGAGCATGAAGCGACGAGATAAAAGGAAGGAAAGAGGGAGAAAGGAGAGAAACACGGGCGCACACAGGCCAGTGCAGCGTTCCGTACAGACGTACCCCTTCTCCGCGTAGTATCCGCGTCGTGCACGTGCATCCAGGTCGCGCGCGCGTGTGCGTGTACAAAGTAGGTCCAGCGCAGCGCAGCGCGGCGCGGCGTGGCGCGGAGGAGAGCGAGACGGCGAATGGATATCGCCGTCCCCTCGCGACCGGCGCGACCAATCCGCGCCGAGCTTGAGCTGCGTGAAGGCGGAACGCGCTGCTCTTTCGCGTATATATTTCGCGGTATTTATTATTCAGTTTGCAAATACGTGGCAAAAATGATCTCTCTCCCGCGCGGGCGCAGACCCGCTGGATGCCGGGGCCTCGCCGCGGCTCCTCTTACGGGCCGGCCCGCTCCCTCGGAGCTGGGAGGTGGAGCCAGAAGGCAAAGGAGCAGGGTAAACGACGGAGATATCGGCCGTTAATTTGTTAGAAACGCCACCGGCACGGCCGATCGCGCCGCGCACGCCAGCCCGCGTCACGCGTGCGTACGTGCGTATGCGCGTCTACGCGCGCGACACGATCGGACCTACGATCAGGGCCTCCATTTCAGTAGCCGCTTCGCGAACTTTTGACAGTCGCGGCGAGATCAAACGATACGCCGGGTATCGGCTTCGCTCAATAAGACCAATGCCGAATATTGTCAGGAGAGCGAGAGCTAGATTTAATACGCGACCCTGATAACGTTCGTGTTTGTTAGCCGTCGTTTCTTGCTGCAGCTAACTGCAAGCTTATTGCGACAGCCAATCTTCAATTTCAAAATGCAAGCTTCAGATTTGGATGTCGCAACAACCTTGGTTCGTGTCTAATAAATAATAGAACCGGTTTAATGCAAAAAGCGTTCAGGCTGCGCGTTCGGACGGAAAAGGAGAGCGTCGTCGTGCAGATCGTTCCATGCAAAACACTAGTAATCCCCGTTTTTTTTTTTTTTTTTTTTTCTACGAACGCATGCATTTACACCACGGTCAGTTACGCCTTCTCCACCCGCGTGTGTTCTACGCCATAACATTTCCGCAGTTAACACACTCGTAGCCGATATCATCTCCTTTCTTTTCGCCCGTTCGCTTCGCGCGTTCTTTGATGTTCGCTGCACGCCCGTGTCTTGGATTCCAAGGAAAAACGCGATTTAATCGTGCGATCGTAATTACAAAATTGCAAATGCCCGTCCGATCGCGATCATCGCGCGTGTCGTTGGTTCTTAATCGCCGATTCCCAGAGTCTCCCGGTACGGTGTATTTAACGCGTATTACACGGAGTCTAATCCGGAGTGAGTACCGGAAACGCGGAGCGGAAGTGTCCAGGGGCCATCCAGCAAGTGATGCGGTCCATCGCTGGTCAGACGGTTTCACCGAAGAAACCCACGTCGACTCGCTGCTCTCGCCGTCTCGATGTCGTAATCGCGAATTGCGCGATCGTTTAAAGCCGTCGCGATGGCGAAACCGCTTTTGATTTAACGAACTTCCGGAAAATGGGGAAAAAAATAAGAAAAAAAAAAACCTCGGAAGAAAACTCAATCTTAACTTCCGGGAAGCGTGAAATGTAGACGAGACCGAGAGAGAGAGAGAGAGATCTCGATGACATCTCGCGTGATTAATTATATCGTGGGAAAGTCTTGGCCGCGAGTAGAAATCGCGAGTAGAAGTGAAGTAATCAAGAATATTGTTCTTGTTCAAGTTTCCACTTTTTCGCGATCGATATTGTTACAATAATGCCGAAAATGTTAAATTATGCACCGCCGACAAACTGCGCGGACGTTTCCCGCGGAGTTTCTCGTTTGCGACGTTTAAAAAAAAAAAGAGAGAAAAAAAAGAGCAGCGCGGTTCAAAGTTCAAGGCACTTTACGCCCTACTTCCTCCGCGACTGCGTCGTTCGAGCCGTAAAACGGCCTCTCCCCGAGGATAGGCACAAATTAGAATCCCGTGGAATTCGCAAAAGTCACAGTCGAGTTGGCAACCGGTCCGTGTGTGAACGTAAACTGCGGTGCCTCAATTTTTCCTTCCGTGGATGTCTTTTTTTTTTTTCAACTAGTCATTATTAATATCTTATTTAATAAATTATTATGACTTTTCATTCTCAATGTGTGCTCGTCTTTTTGACCTCTCCACTTCCCTATTTCTATTTAGAACATTACGAGCTGACGAATTGTACACAAAATAAATTTTGCTGAAATATCGAAAAATTTGGCAAGTCCGAAGATAATTTTGATAGAGTCTATCAAAACAATTATGTTGGAATCTCGAGAATTTTGAGCAACGCTGTCGAAAAGAGTTTCGACATTCTGCCA